GCCAGGCGAGGCCCGCCCGCCGGTGGGAGCGCTGATTAGCATGCGGGCCACGCGGCCGCTCGATATTTACGGCGCGGAGAGCGCAGCGCGGATAATGGCACATAAAGCCGGTGCTCGTCTTAATTAAACGCGGTAATGGGTGTTGTGCGGGTTTTTTCTGCGGCTGCTTTCCGTGAGCCAAGCAGTTTCGCAAGGCCCAGCGATCACTCACGCGGGGTCCTGAGCCGGGACCTAATCAATACGTGATTTAAGGCCGTTCGCCGCCGGCAGGAGCCTCAGAGCCGGATCGCGGCTTTTCGGGCCCGTTTCGGGGTAGCTCCCGCCTGAGAAATAGCGGCAGTTGTTGATTTTGGGGTGTTGCTCTTCGTGTTGTCATTTCGCTAAATACCGCACTGGAGGGAAAAAGTGGGGGGCAGGAGTCGGGGGGCTGGGCGTGCGGTCACCTGTGGGAGCCTCCGTGGGGGGCCCTGTCCCCAGCCCCCCAACCCCTGAGCTTCCTGGGTTTTCCCAGACGCTCTGGCCTCAGCCCTGAAAACACGGCAAATGCCAGGCTTGTCCCTGAGACAGGGACCCGCCCCGTCCCCAGGTCCAACCCCCTGTCGTGTCTGGATGAGACGAACAGCGAGGGGGCTGCAGAGTCGGGGTCCGAGCTGAAGCGTTTGGGGTCCCCCCCAGAGGAAAGCAGCCCGGATGGGGGTTCCTGGCGTCGCTGCGTTATTTACAAAATGAGTCCCAGCTGTTGCTCGGCCGTCCTCTCGAACGGAATCTGAAAATGTCCCCGTGGTGGAGGGAGGCCTGTCGCCCGCGGCCACACACGGTCTCACACACACACACACACCCGGGCTCGCCGGCTGCCCCGGGGCACAGCGAGCTCCGTGCAGGTCGGGGTGACCTGAGTGACGAGCTGACCGCCCATCGATCGGCCGACTGGGCCTCGTCTGGTGGGGAAGGAGGGCGCCCTGTGTGCGTGCCACCCGCACTGTGTCCCGGGCACAGCCTCTCTGAACTAGGCCTTTCTCTCTGCTTGTTGGTCCTAAGAGAACACAGTTCTTCTATTCATCTGACTACCATGTATGGGAGACTTTCTGGTAAGACCCAGATTTTTCCCGTTAGCATCACATGACAGGTCTTTAAAACTACCGTGACCCACCCGGCCGGTGTGGCTCAGGGGTGGAGCCTCAACCGATGAACCAGGAGGTCAGGGTTCGATTCTGGTGGAGCCTCAACCAATGAACCAGGAGATCGGGGTTCGATTCCCGGTCAGGGCACATTCATCCCCAGTGTGGGGCGTGCAGGAGGCAGCCGGTCCATGATTCTCTCTCATCATGGATGCTTCTCTCTCTTCCTGTCTGTATCTGCTTTTTGGGGGGGCAGGAGGGACCCTGAATATAATAATAACATTAGCAGATTCTCCCCTCCCCAAATGGCTACAGACTACAGGGACTGGACTGAGTTGAGCACCACGGTAGGAAATGGAGCTGAAACGGCGAATTCCTGTGAGTTTTTAAGTCCTTTTCCGGACGCCGAAATACCAAGTTTCATCCTGAAATCGTCCGTGTGTCCCCGATACTCAAAGTCAGGATAGAGTTCAAGTGATTAGCGGTTTCTTTCCAGAAAAAAAGAAACTTTTTTTTTTTTTGGGCCGCCAAGGAGCTGCGGAGGACGAAGACGCTGTCGGACTACGTGGGCCGGAACGAGAAGACCAAGATCATCGTCAAGATTCAGCAGGTGAGCGCGCCCGCGTGCCGTGTTCCGTTCACTTTCACGCTGACCCGTGTTAGGACGAGTCTCCACGCCGACGCACCTTAACGCTGTTGGCCTGGACTTCAAGCAGACGTCCCCTCGTCCCCCCCGACTGGAGGGATGCGGGGCAGTTGGCAGCGTCGGGAGTCGTTCTCAGGGGACGGGCTGGCCATGTTCGTTTCAGCATTAAGACCGCGGGCTGCCCTGACGGTCTGGCTCAGTGGATAGCGCATTGGGCTCAGGGCTGAAGGGTCCCGGGTTCGATTCCTGCCGGGTCAAGGGCACAGGCCGGGGTTGCGGGCTCCATCTCCAGGAGGGGGGCCTGCAGGAGGCAGCTGATCCCTGATTCTCTCTCATCATGGATGTTTCTATCTCTCTCCCTCCCTCTCCCTTCCTCTCTGAAATCAATAAAAAATATATTTTTTGGAAAAGAAAGGGGAGGGGGAGGGAACTGCTGATGGCACCCCACCCCCTTCAGAGGGTGGCACGTTTTCTCGCCACCCATGCGCCCTTCTGTTAGGACGCAGCTGGCGAAGCCAGGACCCGCTCTGAGGGGAACCCCCCCCCCTCCATTCCTCCGATGGCGCCGTAATTTACCGCCCGGCGTCAAGGGCTCCGATTTCCTGCCTCCCGTGAAACATTGCGCTTTCCTTGTCCATTGATGTAGCAACTCTAATGGTTACAAGCAGCTACAGGAAAATCAATAGCGCGCTCTCTTCCCCGAGA